ACATGGTAAATTGATCGACTGTGTAATGGCTTTGAAATCAACTAAATTATTTCCTGCAAGAAGGGATAATTACCATCGAGCAAATGCATTTACCTTTATAATCATGATTTCTTAACTGCATGAGTTACAATACAATTAACACGAATATTTTGATCACTTTAGTGACACATTGTTTCATTCGCCGATAAACATAAAAGCTTTATCTATATAGAAGGAATTCTAATGATATTAATTTTGAAAACGTGTCATCGAAACTTGTCATTCTTATTGTAATTACATTTATGTCTTGCTTATTTTGACCTGCAGCAGTGTTCTTTCAAGATATACCCCCCAGTTGCACAGCGGTATGTCTGTGGACTTATACTACTAGAAACCGGGTTTCGATACCCGTAGTTGGCAGATCACAGATATCCCATTGTATAGCTTTGTGCTTAATTACAAACAAGAAACAAATTCTCAAAATATTAATAGCAAACCAGAAGTGTATATAAGCAAAAAGTTTAATCTTTACAAAGTAATACTCAAACTGTGACAAGAAAATGTTACACGCTTATTCGTCGTGGTACTACCAAATGTATAACTGTAAGTAGACTAATCTGTACCAAAACTTCGAAATACATTGTGCTGGTAAGTATAAGTTGCATATATGTATGCTATGACACCAATTTGAAATGTTAGTTGTATTTGAGTTTTGTTTTTTTTGTTTTTTCTTTGTCGTTATTTTCTTCGTTTAATTATTTGTATATTTCGAATGAAATATGAAAATATGAAATCTAAAAATAATGACACAACAATATTTTGTACTTTTCAAAAATAATGTGATGTAGGTATATAATACTTATTTTGCTGGAGATGGTACATGCAATAATTATAAGTTATTTATTGAAATGTTCATCCGAGATTAATCAGGATTTCAATGGCATAAAATGATGATAAGAGCTTCTAGTAAAGGTAAGACAAAATAACTCTTAACCAAACGTTACAGATCTGTAGAAATGATCTTATTTTGCGTGTAATTAAAAACCTAATACATAAAGTCAGGATCATAAAATCAGTTAGTGCTTTTATTTGGCCCAACTGATTGTTGTATGGATTTACCGAGTTTTTAATATTACAATAACAACAAAATATAGAGATCTTTGTTGCTATATAGCTTGGATTGATTAGTTGTTGTTAAGCACAAAGCTATTCAATGGATTATTTGTGTTCTGTCTACCACGGGTATCGAAACCCAACTTTTAGCAACGTAAGTCTGCAAACTTACCCTGAACCACTGGAAGGCTGCAATATAATATGATACGACACTTCAATTTAATCCAGTTCTACACCTAAAACCAGTTCAACCCACTGTTTCGTTCTATAACAAATGGTTGAATATAAACAGCTGGAAGATGGGAAAAGGCATCATACAACAGTAGTGAGATTGCCTGCAGTTTTTAATAAAGTAATTGAAGTTTCTTATTATATATGCGTTGGGCATGACCTACTAATTAGTGTGTCGGACGTGGGTCCAAGGGTGCATTGTTCGCGCCTATTACTGGCAAAAACCTAACTGCACTCGACTTTGGGGTTGTGAGTTCCGGTCAAAATTGCACTATTTGTTAGAAACGCTCAAGAGTTGACAATGGGTGGTGTTGACTGCCTGTCTTCCTTCTAGCCCAAAATTAGTAACGACTAGCGCAGGTAGTCCTTGCGTACTTTGGGGATCATATTCGAAACAAACAAATAATGTATTATATCTATTAATACCTAATGAACAGGTTTTTAAAATGAATAAGTTAGCAGTCTATGTCAGTCATAATATCATTTTATTGGACAATACCCGTAATATTATATCACTACACGATAGATATTATTTGTAATAACGTTAATCTTTACGAGAACAGTGATAATTGTCGGTAAGAAGTTTGTGTATTATCATTTTCATGCCAGAACAACCAGGTTGGCTAGATTAAAACGCACAAAACGAGTTAAATCATCATTTATTTAACATGTGAATTTTAGCATTCGCAATGACTTGTGATCAAATGAGACTTATGAGAGACAAGACTACGTGGAAAGAGGTAATTTGATCTGATGATGCTATTTTTGAAGTATAAAATCTATTATTCAATCCTAATCTTTAAGTAATTTTTATTTTTCAAATTTCCTGCTCCTAAATTCGCAGAGCATATTTCATTAAGAGTAAAATCTTCAACACTTATTCAGATAAACTATTCCAAATGTTACAATTATATCTAATATATAAGTCTATACTGCCAATTCATCTAAAGTTCTTTCTACCGTACTTATAATACGTTTATAAACATGGTACGTAAGTAATGCTTGGAGACGACTTGAATGGTTAATGAAGGTATCTGATGATGACAAAACCTTGTCGAAACGTTGTACATTTGCTGTTATGTTAAACTTATATTGAAGTTTTTTTATTACCCATTCAAGCTGTATCCAAGCATTATTAGTCTCAAAGTGGGTTCCTCATCATCGAAATAGTATGTAAGTGTGAATGAAGAAGCAAGAATTTCATATATGACTTTCTTATGTGGGTGTTTTATAAGACTTTTTAATTCGAGTCAAGAGGTTTCAAATGTCTTGCTTCTTAAAATTTTACCATCACATTTGATCTTACCACTTAATTTTGATTGATTGGTAAGCTCATATTTCCAAGATAATGAAGTACAATAGCAATCTGCTCAATGATAAAATGTAACCATCATCATTTTATCACTCAGCTTCTTTAACAATTTAGAATAAATGTCGAGACTAGAGCAATACTTGTTTGGAAATAATTTACATTGTTTTTAATTAATACTCTTCTCGAATTTATCAGAATTAAAATAGTCATCCTTTACTTAACTGATAATTTACATTCCATGATAAAATACTAAATTAAAAGAATAAAACGCATTTATAAAATCTTAATGAAAGTCATATTTTCCAAAGATTGTTCTTGTTTTTTTTCTATTAACAAGAAAGGTAGAAGTGCATATCTTACTACATTTTTCAAAGTAAAACTTTCATCACAGTTCGTCTTTGTTTAAGATGATTTACTTCACTTTTATTTTGCTTATATTCATTAAACTTAGTTTCATCATATTCACATTTACAACTTATTCAATTTTCATGGATGCACGACATTTCTCATTAATCAGAACTTTATGAATGTTGTAAGGGAATAGTTCACACACCGTCAGTGACAACCAATTTATCGTTAATCCAACTTTCTCTTTGAAGCAATGAAAGATTATGCATAATCTACAATTGTAAGCGTACATTATGTTATATGTTTAAAAACGATGTATGCTTTGCATTCCCTAATGGAGTTTAAGATGCTAATGTCTGCCCATTTGTGTGTGTATGTGTGCACATACAAGCTCTCTCAGAAATTATTTTGAAGAGAACCAAAGCAATTGTGATAGGGACCACTACATGTCAAATAATTTTGAATCGAACCCTGCTCTGTATTTGAAATTGTTTCTGTCTAATAATTATAGTATAATTACCTACAAACACAGCAATCAAATATCAAATCACCTTTTCATTTTGGAAAAAGCGAAATTGTTGAGAAACGTAAAATTTTACTTTATTTAACAAGCCTTTAATTTATAATACAGTTTTCTTTGACATTGTAGATTTTTGTTAATATACTTTATCTGTAAATATCTAGCTTTACTGAATAATTGTCTGTTTTTAGCTCGATTTGTTGATGTAGAAAGAAAATAGGTACTTTAAATTCCATGAACATTTTTTTTTGAAAAATTAACTCAGCAAAGTGCAAAAATAAGTTTATGTAACATTTTAACTATTCTTTATAAATATTTGATGTCCGAGAAAAATATCTTGAAAATAATAAAATAAATAACACTTGATAAATATTTGAATAAAAGTCATTTAACCATTTATAGAGTAAATTGAAAAACAATTCACGAAACATAATACATTGTTTTACAGTCAATAAAATTCCACCAAATTTCATGAATTATTTCTATATAATAGATTATGTTTGGAGGTTGTTTTTTAAACATAATTCATCCACAAGCTATTGAGATAAGACAAATAATCAGCTGGAAAAACTTTTAGTTACATAATCTTGCGCTCAAGAGCAAATATCAAATCCGCGTGTAAGCAGTTTATAGGTATATTAGGTTTGATTCTATTAACATACAATCAAAGAAGTTATTCCCAGTAAGCAGAAGAGACAAGTGTAGTAACCTTTAAAGTTTTACTGATTGTAAAGAATGTTAAATGCAATCATTTCTAGATTATATGTTAAATAACGAAGATATCACATTAATGTTTCATTCAACCAAGTCTTGCAGAAGAGAATATTATAATGCAAAAATTTTAAGCACCAAATGCTCCAAAGAAAAAATAAAATTATAATTTTGAAATTATATTCCTTAAAATACACAATATTCTTTCCTACATCTGGCTGTCAACCTATCTATAAATATGCGTTTGTATTATTTAGACATATTTGTGAGAATCAACAATTTTATACATGAAGAATTTAGGAATTCTATATGTGGAAAACAGATTTATCTTTCAAATATATTCAAAGAGAAAAGTATTATTATCAATATATGATTCTTGTAACATTTTTTTCATATGCACGAGATAATTATTGAAATCCTACTTGGTAAATAAAGCAAGACTGTTATTCCAAACCGCCAAACGTTTGTAAAGTACCTCAAACTTTTGACCTTGATACTTTTCAACACTAAACATGACAATTGGGCTGTCATTTCCAAGAATTAGCCTGTAAATGTATCAATCACTTTTATGTTGAAATAGTCACTTACACTCTTCATTCAAAAGTCTGAAAATAACGTGTGTATTTTTTTCACGATATCTCTTTTACGGATACTGTAAAAGCAAAATGAGGTGTATGTGTGTGTGTATATATATATATATATATAAATGCATAATGTGTAGACGCATAAAATTATATAAAATAAAACCTCGAAACAACAAAGAACTACTTTTAGTCTTATTCCTACCTGTATTTAGTGCCCAAAAGCATAATAACAGTGCCGCCACCTGACATGATTTATTCAAAAACATCGCATCTAGTTTCGCTTTTCAGTATTCCTCAGTCCAGCTGATAGTTAAATTTCAGGTTAGTAGAATATATTCTTCACTTCTTCACCAAAATCCATAATTTATATTCTGCTGTAGGCTCTTTCAATAGTTCTCACACCTCATTCGAACGTCAAACCACAATACTATGCCAAGGTTGTCAACAAACCGACCAATGAGATTAGATATGATCACAAGCAAAATTACTTTATGCCAATTGAAGTTTTGGTTTTTACTTAAATGTATCGTGTCCATTCAAATCACGTTTATTTAAGTAAAACATCTCAGATAACAAAGTATTACCTCTAACAGCTAAACCTGAACGTTATGTTGGCACCCATCACCTAAAGCTGTCGTTCAGCAGCTGACGTTGTAACAAAAACACCGCTCTTACCCTGTGCAATAAAACATTGTGCTAGTGCTGCTCCCATGTAGTTCACTGAAGAACTAAGACCGGATGATTATCGTTACGACATTTCCTGTGTAGACTACAGTATGCGTTTTGCGTGTGGTGCTGAAAACGGATGTTCAGTCCAAGGAAAATGCAAAATTTCACCGCCGAAATTTGATCATAAGGAATTTTTCATCATTTCGTGATATTGCATAAATATATTATACATTGGCGTTACATTGTAGACGAACCAAGTTACTTGAGGCCGTATGGCTACGTAAGTATCCATGTAACCTGAGTCAGCATTATTTTGTATTGAAACTCCAATAGTCCAAGTACTGACAATGTGACATAACAAAATGCTTGAAACACTATATGATGAAATACGTTTAGCAATAGCATTATGCTATAACTAGCACTATCCTGGTAATACTGTATCACTGCTTGCAAAAGAAAATAAGTGAACTTAATTATATATATATACAAATATTTGTATAAACAACTGCAAAATAAAATCAAGTGATTTTTTTTTTAGAAATGTTAATACTAACATTAGTAACATTTAGTGATTTACAGGAATCAATGTTTTTCACTAATGTGTTTACAATGTTTTTCTAAATCCTAGATTTATTTAAGTTTCACGTGTTTTCGATCTAATTTTATGCTATGGAGACCATAGTAAAGTCTAGAAAGTAAAATGTATAAAAAAAAATATAAATATAACAAATACTGAAATAGTTGGAAGGGGCATATTTCAGAATTAGTTTAGTAGACTTGGAAGAAGTTGTACAGCAAGAAACCTGTACCAGGTTATAAAATTAAAACACATCAAGTACCATATCTATTAATTAATATTATTACATGTGTTAGCAGCATTGACTTGACAGAATACTGAACTTAGTTGACCAGGTGGCCTTCTTTTGGTTGTTATAGGTTGAAGTAGTGCACAAGTTTCAGTCACTGTTATTCTTATAACTATTGCATTAGATTATGCAACAGCTGTCATATAACCCAAGCAGACTGAATAAGTTAGAATTTAAGTTCTACTGTAGGTGCTTATGCAGGTACAAACTGATGCACTTATAGTTTTGTATTCAGTTGTGGCTAATTGAAAATCATTGAAGAAAAAGCAGTGAATGCTGCTGTATCATCTTCAAGACTAGAATAGCTTTATATTATAACTTTTTTTTTCTTCAGATGTATTGGAAGCTACATTGATCTCATGAAATATATATATATATATATATATGTACAAAGTTTTTTGTTCATCACATTTAAAATTTAAAATCTTAAAGTTACTGTTTTACTTAAAATTTAAATAATTTACAAGTGGTAAACCCAGGCTTTCAATACACACTGTTTTCACCTTCAGTTATTTATTCTAACCATCCTCAAGTGTATGCAATTTCTTGGCAAATTATATTTTAATTTAGATAAAAACACAATAGCTCTTGAAAGTTTGAAAATATATGATTCAGTATATGAATAACACTTGTAATGCTTGTGAGTAAACTAGTGTGAACTATGATTTTTTTAAATGGAAAGTAGTCAAAGTTAGTGAATTACATTTGTTAATTTTCCCTCTTTAATTTGACAGACAAGTTTTCTCATAAAAGTTTTTTTTTTATAATAGAGAGCAAGTAGTTTATGTTTTTCACTTGAGAATGACAGTGGGTGGCAGAGGCAGTTTTATGTCATTCCAACTGTTTTACTGAATACTTTACGCCCACATTATCAAAGAACTAAGGTAAAAGTTTCTTCTTTCTTTTTTAGAATTAGCAATTAAGCCTGCCTTCCATACCAGGTAATGCTTTTATAGTTAATTATTTCCAAATCAAGAGTGCATGGCATCTCTGTTTTGTGCTGTGTACACTTCTGCAAAGCATGATTAAGAGAAGTTTTGTAAAACATTACTTTTATTATCACACAGCATGACCTTCAGTGGCTCAGTAGTATGTCTGTGGATTTATAATGCAAAAGGCTGTATACCTGTGGTGGGTACAGCACATATAGTCCATTGTGTAGCTTTGTGCTGAGCCACAAAGAAACAAACAAATCATACAGCATTCAGATATTCTGAGAAAGATGTTTCTCTGTTAATGAACATACATTCATAACCACCACAAATGATATTATTTCATGAAGTGTACGCATGTTTAACAATAGACCTTAGTCAACCAATGATATAGTTAGGAGACTGGTATTCTGTATCTGTGCCATGATTTAACCTATGGTAACATAATATATGGACACCAGGGGACACTTGGCCTTATAATGTTGTCCTTGTACACCTTTCCTTGGAAAGAGTAAAAAGTTAAACCTATCCTCATAGTCTGTTTTTCTAGGAAATTATCAATTCTCCTCCTAAATTCCTGTAGAATGCCAGTCTCTAGTGCTACTGAGAGAAAATCATTCTATAAGACAAATCACTAAGTTAGAAATATTAAAACTGTCTTAATTAACTGGAGCATGTCTTGTTATTTCCAAAATTTAAACTTGTCTTCATGTTCTGTTATACAATGCTAAATTTCTAGACTAAAGGAAGGAAACTGAAGAAAATTTGTTTTGTGCCTAACTTATGATATTTTATTCTTTAACCTAAGAAATTATATTTGTTTTAGAAATGTGGTTATTTATATGATTTAAATATCCCTTCTAAGTAAGTTTTAGCTTGACTCTGTGAGTAGATTCTCTGGCAACTGTTTACAGTTGCTAGATGGAAACATGATTAAACAAGATAATCACATTAATTATGGGCTTGTTAATAAAAAACTGAGAAGTTTAAAGAATGGTAAGGTTGGTTGAATGGATAATATTTCCTAAAGGGATTGTGAAAGAGGTTATGTATTGGATATGTGAGCCACTTGCCTGTACTTTCTTGCATGATCTTGAATAATTGACAGGTGCCAAAAGATTATAAGTTACATAATGTTACTCTTCTCTTCAAGGGAGGCGATTAAAATTTTCCATATAATTATAGACTTACTAATCTTACATCAGTTGTGGGGAAAGTTTTTTGAAGTCTGGTAAAATATATTTTGCAAATTCATTTGTCAAAGTTTAGAATTATGTTGGATAGTCATCACGGTTTCACTAGGTACTAATCTTTTGGCATCCTTTAAAGAAGTTACTTCTTGTATAGATTAGGATGAGGATTTGATTTGGAAGAAAGCAGAGTTATTATAAGAAGTTCAGTCAAACTGGATAAATGCACAAGTGGGATACCTCAATGTTAGAAATTTTGCTCTTTTTTTTTATTTACATCAATGACATAGATGAAGGAATGATCTATAAATTGTTTACATTTGCTGATGATATTAAGGTCTTGGATGCTGGTGGCTGTGGTGAGTTGGCAAAATTAATGGCACATGGCTTTTAATTGTAATAAATGCAAGGTAATTCATATTGGTTATTATAACTCAAATTACAAGCATAAGTTTCATTAGAATAACCCTAACAGTGTTCTAGAAGAAAATTATATTGTTTTTTATTAGACCAGTCTCTTAAGCCATCCAAGCAGTCTACTGTTGCTAGTGGTAGAACAAAAAAGATTTTAGGTTGTATTTATATAAATATTGAATACAAATGTAAAGAAGTTATATCATTGTATGAGTCACTGGTTAGGCCTCATTTGGAGTATTATGTTCATTCTTGGAATTTGAATTGTTGGAAAGGGTTCAAAGAAGAGTTATTAGGATGATGTCAGGGATAGGAAGGTTGTATACAAATTATTTTCTATTTATTTCAGGATTTGACTGGTGTATTTAAGACTGTTAAGGGAATTGATAATGTTGATGCATCATCTTTTTCCATATTTAATGGTGAGAATGGTATGGCAAAGGAACACAAATATTAATTTTGGTAGGATAGGAGTCATCTTCAGCTAAGATTTATTTTATTTTCTTAACAAAGTGATTGACATTTGAAATAGGATACCTTCAGATATGGTGGATGCAGTAGATTAAGTGAAGGCTCAATAAGTATTCAAATGACACAGGCTAATTTTGATGGTGTTTTTTGTTATTTTTTTGCTGTTATTGTTTAAAATGTATTGGATGAAATAACATCAATTGACTAACAGGTCCCTTGTTATCAGATATTTTTTCTAACTTCAAATTTACCTTTAAGCTAATTATTGTGCTCTAGCCAGTAGAGAATTACACTTAAATAAGAAAAACAAATACAGTAAAGGTATTTATATAAGATATGACACCACTAATAGTTAAGTGTGGTTAGCATATATCACTAAATCTATAACCTACAAGCCATTTACAGAAAATGTTAATCCCTTGATTATAATGAAAAGTATTATACTGAAATTTTCAGGATAATTAGTGTTATATAAGAACATTTAACCATTAAACTTCCTACTTGTTTTTATACTGTTCACTTCTGCACATGAGATCCACATATCATCATCATAAGTTTATATTTTTGCTTGTTGCAACACTCAACTGACCAAAACAACCGAGTGAAATCGCTACTTTTCTATGTAAGATACATATGAAAACTCACCAGTAATTAGTGGGATTAATCAAAATTAATTAATATTGATATTATTTTTGTTTAGATTTTCATGTGTGGGTTGTATGTTATTAGGGACCTTGTAATTAACAAAGTCATCAGCCAACAAACAGAGTTGTGCATAAATAGTTTAAACAAATGTGGTGGTCCATATGAACCTCATTGGTTGCTCTGAGAGATATAACTCCCCGTTTGTAATGACAGATTTTAATAAATAAATTTTTTCTGTATTATTACTTGTAATTAAAGATACCAAGGGAGAAAATAAAAGTTGCAGAAAAATATAAATTAGCTAGTAGTTTGTGCAAAAATTGTTTTTCAGTAACAAGATGACAGCTTAAATAGTTGCTTACAAATACACAAAGTCCTTATACAATCATTGAAACCATAGTATTTTGAACCTGAAAGTACCATAATTGGTAGCCATAAGGAAGGGAAAGTCTATGTACAAGGTTTGGTAATCCTGCCTTTACTTTATATCAAGCTGCTGTTCAAATGGGTAAAAGACAAACAGCTCTTAAAAATTTAATTTCTAGCTTTGCTAATGTCATTGTTAGGAATTTATAATGCTTATGTATGATTTTGATTTTTTACTTTTTTTCTTTCCTTGCAATGCATGATTATATTTTGCTTTATTTTCAATGGTTGCATATTTATGTCTCAGACTGTTTTTATCTTAACTTCTTAATATCTAAAAGTATGGGATGGGCAGCTTAAAAGAAATCATTGGAATAACATTCTAATCATTTACTATTTAATTCACCCACAGCATTTAATGATAGTTTGACATATGCCACTATTCTTGATACTCTCACAGCTTTCCAAATACTGAATCATATGTTGTTTACCAATTGAATATCAAAATATTAATAACTAATATCAAAAATGAAATAAAATGCTCCTTAACCTTTTGGAACTCTTTTTAGTACTATTGGCCTGCAAGAAATGGTAATAATGTATGGAAGAAACAAAAAATATTGCATTGTGGAGTCTCTATTACATCCAATTTTTACAGTTTTAACAATCTTAATCATTAAATTTGAAATCATCACTTAATTGTCAAAATACTAGTTTCATGTTCTCCATAAGAGTTTTATTTAACATTACAACATCATTAAAACAGGATTTTATCAGAGTAAATGTTTATTTTAATAACATATGAAAGCTAAAACATTAATGCTATTACCTAGTACAGCTACGATTGAGTGCACACATCTGAACTGTATTTTATTGTACAATTTGAATTATCTAAGCCTAGTTTCACTGTGGCTAAATTTTTTACATCTTAATTCCCAGCAGATAGGTGTATACTGTGGTTACTCCCTTCATGCTAGACTATTATGTCTATAAATAATTCTTGTGGTTGTGTATCAATAAAATAGTTTTGTGTAATTGTTGCATTACTTAAAATCTACATGTAGTAATGTTCCTTGGTGATGTACTTATGTGTTTAATACCAGTTTATCTGCTTTAATTTGTTTGTGAGCTTTGTTACTCTAAACATTGTTAGTCTTGATTTCTATGATTTGCTGCCTAAGTGCATTGTATTTTCTTATCAATTTTTTCTTTTGCATTTTATGGTGTTGTGATTGATTAGGCTTGAACTTTCATCTTGTGAATAAATTTTAAATTATTTTCAGTGAATTTAATATTGATCCACAGGTTGTGCTGTATCCTGTTTTTGTTTTCTGTCAGAATAGCCTTTCTATATTGGTATCTGTTCATGTAACTACTTGTAAATACTCCTAACCAAGTCTTAGAACCTCCTGTTATTTTAATTTTGCTGAAGGAATGTAATTGATTAATTGAAATTATTGTTCCCAATTGTTTCTGTTTTTCATTATTCCATCAGTTGATTAATCAAAATTCTGGTTATATCAATTGTCATGAAAATAATCAAGTAATTGAAATTATGCCAACCTTTGTATTTTGTTTGTTGTTGTTGAACTATGACAGTATCTACCACCAACTTTCTTTTGTTGTTGTTCTTGAACTGCTGATTGGAGGGAAGGCAAGTAGCTGGCAGCATGTGCCACCAACTTTTTTTTCCCTTTGCTTGTAGGTGCCAGTTCTATCTTACACTACACATCACAAGTTGGTTGTGCAAAACAATCTAGCTTACTCATAGCTTTGTCAAGTTATAGGTTTTGGGTTCTATTTGTCCATAAATTTAGGTTTATCAGAATGTCGGTGGTAAGTATTTCAGGAATTAAAATTTTTTTC